AGAGAGAGAGAGAGAGAGAGAGAGAGAGAGAGAGAGAGAGAGAGAGACAGAGTGGGGTCAAATTGGTGGCAGTCTCAGTGTCTGTCTGGCACTGTCACAGCGAGGGTGGAGACAGATGATTTCATCCAGCTGTTTGAAAAGCCTCCAGAAGCAAAAGGATGATGTTATTTGGCATTTCTGGAGAACATACGGTACTGTACACACCCCTCCACCAGAACATTATCCTAAGTGTGTGTGTGTGTGTGTGTGAGAGTGTGGTTATTGAGGCACTTTGTAATATTTTGTTTAGGAGGTTTAGCAAAAGAAAGACAGATTTAAACTAAACTACCTCAGCCCTGTTGGGTCATGAACTCACTGACATTCTAGTTCCGTTCAAGTGTCTTTAAACATAAGAAAACATTCACCTGCTCTTCAACTTTAACAATATCCACAAAACCCGGAGCTTAGAAGTAAGAACCCAGCGCAAATATGCTCTCTTTCCAGCCTCTCAAAATCTTTCCAATTAATATCAGAGGAATATAAAGATTTTAGTGAATTAAAGTCTTTCCGAGTTGAACTTCAGTTTGCCTGTGCATCCCATAAACAAGTACAAGCTACGTTTGTGCCCCACAAGAGATCACAGAAAGGGTTTTTTGTTCAGTGTGGGAAGATGCAAGGAAATCAGCCCAGTGAAAGGAAGGATTTGTTCTCCGAAAAAAAAAAAGAAGACTGTCTGTAAGAGCATCCATGTTTCTGAGAAATGTTTAGCCTAATATTTTAATTTAACCACTGCAATAAAACTCAGCTCCGTGCCATTTAATACCAGGATGCTAAACTTGTGGTGGTCAACGCTGGTTAGAGAGAAGAGTCAGGTTGTGTGCTCCCCATTTAGACCAAATTAATGAGTGAATAACGAGCAGAGTGTTTCTGCGTGTGTGTGTGCATGTGTGTGAGGGGTGTATTCATGAGCAGACGGCCTATGTCTTTCACTAATGCAGCAGAACTTTATTTATTGGGGATTTTGTTAAATGAACTAGAGGGTTTTCATCTTTTTTTTTTGGCTGTGTTTGTGTAAAAACCCGGATGTGACCCGTTATACCTTGGTGGTTTCGAATAGGAGGTCTCGATCCCCGGCTGTGATCTTGAAGGTGTTGCTGTCAGACATGCCATAAGAACAGATCTGGCCATAGGGGAAAGACTCCAGGGCCTCTGATTCTCCCTGCTTGTAAAGAGACACAGATGTAGCAGCTACACCCAGCCACAGCTTCTGGGAAAAACTCCCTGTCGAACTCTGTAGACAGAAAAAAACAAAAAAAAAAAAAGTCAACCGGTTGTCAGAGCAGGGCAGAATTCTCCACGACCCCGGCGGCGGCCCTCGAGATGGGGGGCGGGACGGAGAAACGGGCCCTTGGCTTTAAATACTCACGATATAAAAGTCCACCTCGTAAAGAGTGCATCCAAAGCCCGACCACTGGCGCGCGATTGTGAGGTAGGCAGCCATGCCGTCGCTCCGACTGTAGCCCGCCAGGCCTTTCCAGCGCTCCAGGATGGACGCCATGACGGCGGCCGCCTCCTCCTTCAGCCGGCTGCGCAGGCGCAGGTCCTGCTCCACCTTCTGCTTGTGGGCCGCCGTGGCCGTGTGGCTCCACAGCGTCCCCGCCAGGAGGCCCGAGGGGAAGAGCTGCGCGGCGGGACAGCCCTGGGCGGCCACCTGGCAGGGGGGCGCGGCCTGCGGGGCGGAGATGGACATGAGCACCCGGGTTTCCAGCATGTGGCCCGGGAAGAGCTCGTCCAGGGGCGGGCAGGGGGCCAGCGTGCTGAAGTCCCCCATCAGGCACTGGAGCCTCAGGGCGGCCAGCGCCTGCAGGTCCTCCTCGCAGGCCGGCAGCTGACCGCGCACCACCATCTCGTGGCACTGCGGGCGGACGTGTCGGGACCAGGAAACAGAGGGGGGGGAGGAAAAACAGGGCACAGTTTGTGAATAATATCAGTCCGTTTTTACCTCACCCTGTTATATTTGTCTCATAACGTCTTTTATAGGAGTGCTCCGGAAAATGCCATAATGAACCCAGTCATAGCTGACTTTTGCCCCCTTTTGCAATCCAGCCAGTGCTCTTAGTCACGCTTTTTATGCAGCACATTTTATTGCAATCATGGTGCATTCGATTACTGGCTGTGACTGCAGATTGTTCTGCAAGAACACCAATAACTCCATGAAATTGGAGGAATGAATCACCGCAGGACAATAAAAGACGCCTCATTATTATCAGCGCGGCAGTGGTCACTCATAGCAAAGACTTTGGAGGATATCGTCTTTTGCTGACTTATGTTCTGCTTCATTACCTGCTCAAAGAGGAATAAATACTCAATGCTGTCCACCGATATGCTGTCAGCATCCATCAGGCAGTAGAGCTTGAAACACAGTTTCCACTGGGATTTTGACTCCGACTCTTTGGTGGTGAAACTGCACAGAGAAGGGACACAAAGGGTTACAAGTAGGTCAAAGAAAGATAATCTAATGTAAAAAAAAAAAAAGAAAAAATCTTAAGACTTCCTGTTAATCTATTACGAGATAGTGCCTGTTGAATGTGTAATACTGCTGTTCAGTAACCTGGGAGGTCGATGTTTACCCCATCAATCAACATGCAAGGACAGAGACGCCAACGCTTGTTAAAACAATCACAAAAAAACAAGATTCCATACTATTCTAGATGGATTCCTAACGGTCTCGTTTGAAACTGGCTTGAGGAAATAAATGACATCAGCTTTGTTATCTGGCGGCTGTCTGGTTTTGCTTACGGGCATTATGACACAAGTCCCGTTTCCCGGCACAGTGTCGTGTTTGGTCACCTAGGCCGAGCGAAGACACCAAATATGACGGATACTGGATAACGTCAGGCGTGGAATTTGGACAGGACGAGCAAACATACACACATTCTGCTATGACTCCGTCAGCGCTCCTCTAACGAGTGGCAAATAGTTGGGATTTCTGGGAGCCTTTTGGTTATTTTGATAGCGTGCCCGGCTGCGTGTTTTATTGTGTCTGACTTCCTTACACTGTCGGTTCTGTTTTACAGGAAAAAATGTGAATCACTCTTCAAACCTGGTCAGGATGTCTGCGATCAGAGCGCTTCCAACCACTGGCTGCTCCCACAGCGCGTTCTGCTCATACAGAGCAAAGGTGTTTTTGCTCTCCTGCAGACCCAGCTTCTCTTGCATCCTTCGAACAACCTGAACAGGGGCAAAACAGCGGGTTAAAAAGAAAAAAGGATGAAAAAGACAGATGGTCGTACAAATTCAAAGAGAAAAGAGGTGGAAATTCAGCTGTCTGGCTTCCAATTTTAACTGGAACATGAAAGACGAAAAAAAGTAAAGTGGCCAAGAAGAAAGCAAAAAAAAAAAGGCTCCAAAACCTCATTGGCGGTTGTATGTGAGCTGATGTAGAGCTGGCAGGACCCGGGGCCAGGGTAGTGCACAGTGCACAGCATCTCCTGACGGTTCATCAACATCTGGATTTCCTCCCAGGATGGCACACACTCCCGACACTTGGTTTTCTCCAAAGCCTCGCTGATGAATGACGCATAGTTATCCATCTCAGACTCAGGACTCTGGCTCTGGATCCTAGAAGAAAGAGGAAAAAGTGTTAGAAAATGACCTGAGTGTGTGTGTGTCTGTTAAAGCTTTTAATATGACATTTAAACAAAAAAAAATGTTAGTACTAAAAAGAGAGAATTTGTTAATGCTGGTGATGTTGCTCGTGGCTCATATTCTGTCGGTGTAATGCGACAATCTTGCTACTTTGCGTCATCCTTTATGATTCAGCTCCATTCTTTATTTTTCTTTGGGTTGGCAATGCTAAAAAGTCAATGAGGCGAGCACTGACAAACGCTCGCACTTTAGCTGTTAAGGACTTAATAGTCTCAACATCCCGAAATCCTTCAAAGAAAAAGAAAATGGCAAAGAAAACATGTTTGACTTTGGGTAGTGCATGAAACAGGAAAAGGTGTTTCCGCTCCTGTGAACCGAAGTGACCTGTCACTTCCTCCCGGTGAAGCGTCCAGGAGAGGAGAGTGTGTGTGTGTGTGTGCATATGCTTTTTTTAATGCAAAAGAAAGGACACAAAGGCAAAGACAGCACACTTCAAATAGAGCCTGAAGTCTCACAGACTTTGTGTGTGTGGAAGGTGTGAAATACAGCCTGGCAGAGTTATGGTCTCAGCCCTGCGTAAACACAGACGGACAAACAGGAAGGAAGCAATTACACTCAAATGTTCGTCTTAAAATACAAAACACAAAGGAAAGACAGAGACACCAGGATAATTTGCCAGACGGAGAAAAAAAAAAGAAAAAAGCCCACTCGTTTACTTCACTGTCCTGCTATCTCATAACTAAATGACCACAGGGTGAGATTTGTCCTGCTGAAACATAATCAGGAATGTTCCACTGAATCCCTGCGATTCTTCCTATACTCTCCTCTCTTTGGCCCTTTCTGCCATTTCCTGCTTGCTTGCCCCCCTCCTTCTCCTCTGCTTTCCCTCTTCTGGCCTTTTCTCTGACAGCAGACATTCCCCGGGGGTTTCTCAGGGCACTGGGGGAGTGAGGGAGGAGTGCTTTTGGGCCCACTGCCCAGCTCCAGTCTTAGCTCTGCCCAGCTGCAGCCTTAGCGCTGATCCACTGAGAGAGAAAGTGCGTGAGAGCGACAGTGAGACATATCAAAACACAGAGCCAGCAAGTTCCTCAGTGTTATTATGAATTGCCATTGCATGCAATTCTTCTATTAGCTAGAGGGCGATTCCCAGTACAGAAATATAGATAGAAAACTGTAGTGGTTTGATGGCATGGCATCGCAGAGAAAATTTAGAGCGGGGGGGATTAGCACTGCTAACAATTTGAGATTACTATGCCTGACAGAGGGGCTAATTCAGACCTGCAAATCCAGCTCTCAAACACTGAATACGTCTGGTGGAACATGTTAACAATGTGCAGGCAAATCAGCTACTATATCTGAACGGGTGGTTAAAGACAGTGGCGCCTGGCGTTGTGCAAACTGCACAATCTCACTGCCGCTCATCACCACAACTGCCCCGGTTTCATCTCCCAGCCATACCTCTCACTTCAGGTCTCTTTGTGTGGAGCCATATGCATGTCTCAACTCACTCATGTTAAATCATTGTTAAAGAACAAAAATATATATAGAGAGAAAAACTATCGAACATATTCAAGCAAACCATTGCCTCAGACTGTCAACACTGGTGGGTACTCAACTTGACTTCCACCTGACTTCCACATGTCAAGTTTCCCACAGGAACAAATCACAGCCAGAAAAAAACAAGGAAATCCCATGTTTTTCAGTTTTAATTACAACTGTCAGAGGACAAGAACAGCTTTCTGCAGTTAGGAAGATTGATTTGTTTTCAAATCAACATGAGAGAATCCACCCAGAAATGCTGCACTCACCATAGACTCAGAGGAGGGAAAATAAATAATCTAGTTTTAGATTTTAAAGAACATTCTTGCTTGTTTGCAAGTCACACAGCAGATACACTGAGATGTAATTGAACAGGTCTTCCTCCATTGAAGCTAAAGAAAACAAAGGGATGTTAACTGTGCGAGAGCCTCACCTCTTAAGGTGGAATCGCAGGTATTTGAGCACTGTGGGCCCGGGCAGGAAGGTGCAGCTCATGCAGGTGAGGAGCTGCCAGTAACGGAGATGCGCCGCCGTGTACGGCGAAGGCGTGTAGCTGGTCTGCTTCACCAGCTGGCAGTAGACCTCGTCGCGGAGGGGCCGCAGGTCCAGGCAGGTCTGCAGCACGCCCTGGATGATGGGAACCGGCTCCCGCGTCGCCTCCAGCTGCTGCAGGCAGTTGAAGAGCTTCACGGCCTCCTCGCGCACCGAGCCGTAGCCTTTCCCGCTGTGGTCTGAGGGAGAAAACAGCACGGGTTCTTACAATTTCTGTTTTGTTTTTTTACCTCATTGAAACCAAATTTAATACATTTTTGTGAAGACACATGCACTCAACACCAAGTTACGGTACTTTAGAATCAAGCATCACTGTATTTTTTCACTATAACTTCATGTGTAGTTTATCGTGTCTGACATAAAAACTTAAGTACTTACATGTGTGCTCTAGACTGCCGTACGGGAAGGGCAACAGAGGAGCATAAAGGGGACCCTGGGTGTATTTAAGGATGGGGTTGTGTTGGTAGATGTGCTCCACCACCTCAGGGTTGAACTTATTTTCCTGTGCGCACAAACGGGATAAATCAACACGGTGAAACAAATCTCATCTTCCTTCTGCGTGCCTCCAGTCGTCCTGACGGAGTCTGGTGCACTGATTGGGCGCTTGTGTGTTTGTCTGTCTGGGGGTGACCAAGGTCAAATCGACCGGGGGGGTCACGATTCAGTCCTGGCAACTTTCAAAGCAGCAGGAAGGTTAAGTGATGACCCAGCAAAGCACGCTAGCGCGACTGACACGTTATATTTTATTCACCGGTGTCAATGAGTTTGCTGTGCGTGCGTGTCTGTCTTTCCCTGCTTATGTGGATAGATGCCTTCCAGCAGTGCAGATGGCTTCCATGCTATTGCCCCCTAGCACCTGTTGCTCATTAGTAACGTTGCCACTGCTCTGGCTCTCTCCTGACTCGGCAGCTCCTCCAACCCTGCCACCCTTTCTCTCTGGATACGAGACCGGCCAGCTTTCCATTTCCTTAGTGGGACAAGGTTGACACATTCCCCTGGACTGTTTGGTGTGCCTTGGTAACGGGCTCGTCCACTGGGGCTGTGAGGATGAGACGCTGCCCTGTGGACAGTCTCAACTAAACCAGATTACACCAATACAGGTCAGACGGAAAAGTAGTCTCTTTGAGCGACATTACCCGTTTGATTTTTAAATATATTTTTTAGACATACTCATTAGTCTCTTCTAGAGCTAAAAGACATACCTCTATGCACATCAACATGGCAAATAAGATACTAAAGCAAATTGGTAACCTGAATGACAATTTCTCCTTTTCACTAAAATTGAATATATTCTTTATTGATCTCCAGGGAGAAATTTTATAAAAAACCCAACTCCCAGATTATAAAAGTCCAAATACTACAGCTGTACCATTTCACTGTGCTTATTCTTGACCACAAAACTTACATAGTTCAGCTGAAAGGCTGATTCAATACAATTTGAAGACAGTAGGAGATTTACTGTGTTCATTAGAGCCAACCTTACTTTTTCCCCCTTTTTTTCCCCTATTGTTTATAAATGACCTGATTAGTTACTGATAAGTTAGTCTGGCCACCTGGACCGATGTCCTTGGGTTCTGCCAGGAAAAGGCTAAGCACTTAGGGGACCGGATGACTCATTCACCACAGTCTGCGGGGGGAAATTCACACTTACAACACCCTCCATAGCTGCTTTAGAACGCCATAGAATTATGCCAACTTTTGGCAAACTCACATAAATGAATGAAATGCCTATAAAAGAGCGTGCTTTTTCTGGTCCTCCAAAATTCAAGCTTGGCCCCTCTTGGCAAAGCAGACAGGGGTAGACGGAGGCAAGCAGATTAAGCACTTTCTTAGAGATTAGAGACTCTCGTTGGGAGATTACTGAGACAGGAGGCCAGGCAAAGGACTGCTTATCAGGTCCTGCTGCTTCTCGCCCTCTTGCACTTCCTCTGCCAAAAAATGCCCCCGTCTTCACCCCTAGGTCGGACTCATGCAGGACGAGGCATTTGTCTGCTCAAAGAGATTCCAGTATGCCGTGTTCTCTGGCAACTCCTGGTCTAAAAATATAGCTTTTCTCTTACAATCACACTCAGGTTTTCAGGAAAAGCATCTTTTCAAAAGCCATTTTCCTGAGCGCTACATGTCTGGAAACACCTTTATCTTGACCTCTGTGTTTTCATCTTCTGTCCAGTTGTGGTGTGATAGAAAAAGATGAGGTCATTCGAAAAGAGAAATGCTAGCAGAATAAACTTTGGACTCCCTGCCCCGTGTGGTCGTGTGGTTTCCACGGTAACCGAGTGGGGGAATGACATGTAGTCTGACGGCTGTTTGTGTTTGGTGGATCTTATCACAGGCCACCACTGTGTGTCGACGTTTGCTTGTGCTGTGTGCCCCACCTCGATGTCTCGTATCAGCAGCTGTGTTGGCGTTTCCACGGGGGATTTGGTATCGATGATTTTCTGGATGGCGCACGCCCAATGTACAGCTTCATTGAAGTGCTTTGTGTACAGTCTATAGCAGTGTTTCCGTCCATAAACTGTAATGCTCCAGTAACCTGGAAAACAAAACAAAAATAAAACTTTCGGGCTGGCACTGGTTATTCCGGTTGGGCCTGATCTTCCAGTGTAATTTAAATTAATAGGAAGGGAAAATGACTAAATGTCCTCGCATGTAATACACAACTCCCTCTCCCTGACTTCCTCTCTCAATTTTCACTGAGGATCAGAGGTCAGTTTGAGAAGAACATCAAGCCAAGCCAAACCAAACCCATTATTCATTATTCTGCAGAGGTGTTAAGGCACAAGCGTCCCCCCCCCCCCCCCCTCCCCAACCGGACAATATAAATAAAAGAGAAAGAAAGGCTTGACTACTTCTGCAGAGGAAGTATTAGACATACCCCATGCAGCCTGGCTTGATCTGCGGTCCCACGGCTGTTATCAGGCTTTCCTGTTACGTGACTTGGAACCACATCATTCTTTATTAAAGCTCTACAAACCCAGAATTACGAAGTTTCACTACAGATATGAGCATTTACTTTTATTAGCATTGTTTGGTGGCCTTAAATGAAAACTGCTGAATGGCGTTACAAATACAGCGCTTTTAGGGAACTGGTGTGTTTTGGTTACAACCATACAAAAAAAAAAACAAGGAAGTACAGATTTCATGCAACTCTTACATGACAAATTTCTCAGTGGTTTAGGGGGAACACAAAACTATTCAGTAGTGAAACTACCAATGGAGCTTGTGACAAAGCCACTGTTGAAAGTGCACTTCTGTCCCCAAAATTCCCTCAGTATATTGAGTTAGAAAGAACTATGTTTGGGTTTGGATTGATACAACAGTTTGGGCATTTTAAGTGGTTTGGAGAAGTCAGCAGGACATAATCCCCTCCATTGACGGACAGGCAGACAGACAAAGCGTTTGAGAAAGGCAGAGACTCAGATTAAGTCTTTACCCACACACAAAAGGCTTTCCTCTTCAATCTTTAAACCATTTTATTTCATTCCTCCATAAGGGGAAGGGAGATGCCCGGGCTTATTACTCAGATGCGAGGTTTCCAGACCAACCTTTAGCTGTGCTTTTGGACAAAACACATCTGGGACTTCCCAAACTTACTCAGAAATCCAGCACTTACAGAAAGCAAAAGTGGATCTCACAATGTTTCCTACCAGAATAAAAAAACAAAATACACACACAAAAAAAATCCCCAATGACAACGATCCCCGTACCAAATGGAGAATTAACAGAAGTGTGACTAAGCTCTACAGAAATGAAGGGAAAGAATACATAACTCTGACTGCGGCGCTTTGTCACTGTGTGTGTGCGTGCCTGTTGTTTGCTTACCTGTCTCCTTGTATGTTTGCTTGTCTGGCCAAATGACGGAGCAGAGGTTGGTGAGAACCAATGTGCCCAGCCGCCGGGCGCCTTTCTCTGGTCCGCTATAGTAGTCAAGGGAGTCCTGGCTCAGCACAAACCAGTACCGGCGCTGCTTGATCCAGTTGCCTCGCACCTCCCTTAGGAGCCAACCTTCAACAGAATACACACCAGCATCAACTCAGCTACAAAATGAAGAAACAGGTTGCCCACTTAGACTTCAGCCATAATATTTGACAGTAAACATATTTTTTGTCATGTGGTGCCTCTTAAATAATCATGTTGTCGACCTGAAACACACTAAATATCAATTTATCACCATTGCTTCATCACATATTTTGGAAAAAGAGGCATTTGGACAGCAGATAAAGGTAAACTGAGGAACTACTAAAGCAGAACTGCCAAGCCATGTATTCACCAAGAATAATCCCCAAGGCCTGTAATTCTCCATAGTTTGCTACAGTCTGTGTGCGCCTGCTTTGTTGGGGTAAATACTAGGGGATAAAAATACAGTCAGCTAATAGCAGAGGAATTAAGTGCTGCATGCAGCCAACAGAATGACCGCTTTTCAGTTTGACAAAGTAAGAAAAGAAGAACACCGGAGCATTGCAACAGAAAGATGAAGAGAATAAGACAGGCATGCTCATAGGCATGCATTCTGTTCTTGCCAGGCCTGTCTTTACAGTGCACGCCTGTTGTGCTCCAACGTTTCTGAGGGTTTAGAAAGATTGCAACAGCCCAGATCCGCTGCTCCCAAACAATGAACTTTCCCCCCTTAGCTATGTGTGCAAATTGTTCCTAATATGTATTTAATCTCAAAGTAGATAAATATGGTCGTTTGGCAGAGCGCTTCCCAAATGCCTCCTGTACACAAACAGACAGGACAACTTATGAGAACTGATAGTACTGTTGGGTCACTTCTGGACTGTGTGTGTGTGTGTGTGTGTGTGTGTGTGTGTGTGTGTGTGTGTGTGTGTGTGTGCAGTCCTTGTGAAAATAGATTTTAAGGAACAATTACGTATCATACATTCTGCCTCAGACCCACTGAAAATGGTAATGGCCACATGACAGCATCACAACTTCCTCTGTGGTTAGCAAAGCTGCGTGCCACCTGACAGAAAGCAGTCATTTCACCCGCATCTTTCTTCCCCTTGCTCTCCCCCTCTCTTCCCATTTACCTTCACCGGCCAAATGTCTCTTCTAACCCCATTTGTAGCCCTGCCTCAGAGCGGTTTTCCCAAGGAGAGCGCATACCCCACTGCTCAAAAGTAAAAATAAAGTGAGAGCTAAACCTCTCGGTCTACGTTTCCTGTTATACTTCTATATGATGTAAGTGGCAGTTTAAAACCTACCATAAAGCCCCCAATATAGCCCGAGGGAAAAAAAAAAAACCCTGGAGGTACTTAACACCACATCAAAGGGGTCAGTATCAAAACCCAATGTGAAGTGGATAAATAAAAATCATGAGGTAAGTAGGGTTGAGCTCTCACTGGACACACTGGATGCGGGACAGTGGAGGCAGACAGGCTGTCTGGAAGAGGACATGGAGAGAGGGCCACCACTGCCACCCTGACACCTCTGTCACAGACACAGGATGTCCCGCAGATGCTCTTTTGGGGGAATTTCAATCAGTGTGATAAGAAAAGGTGAAGAAGGATGGAGTTAGAGAGAAAGAGCAGTGGAATCCCCAGACCCCTCCCGTGGTTTTCCATCTGGATCCCATCTCTGTAGCCAACTAATGTGTCCCCTGGGGGGCCACAACTCACCCTTAATTTGTTTCATTTGTGACCCTTAACCCCTCAGTGCCCTGCCCCCTCAAACACGGATTGAGAAAACAATCTATGGATTTCCACATTTTACTGCTAGTCTCTTTTCACTCACTCAAAACTGATTCAGTACCTCAAATCAAAACCTAAATAATAATATGATGAAATATAATCATTAAATACATAAGTACACCTCTTTAAATAGTGTGTACCTTTAAACTTATTTATGGCCCATAAAAAAAAAAAGGTTAGCTGTACTTTCTACGGGCATTTCATCACACTCTCAGAGGAATATCACAATAATCGAAGAGCCAGGAAAACATTTTGTTTCCCTGAACACTGAGCTCTACAATGGAAGCCAAAGAACCTGGATGGGGCTCTAAAACCTTGCAGTGCAGTTTATAAATCGAAGATGATGTCAAAAGATGTCAATGTGTGCCAATTTCTCTGAACTGGCTCGTGTGTGTTTATTTTTTTATCTATTTTGACTGAAATATTCCATGTTACTTTAGAAAAACAATGCGGATCATACATTGAACCTGAAATCCAGGTCCGCACACAGCCAATGCACTAAACCGTTTCCCCTTTAGGCTCAGACATATCCAGACAGTTTACTGGAGCATGCCATGCTGCGCATCACATGAGGGGTAATTTTAACTGTAAATCAACAAAGGTATGTCAATAAACCAATGTCAACATCTCTTTCTGTCTACACTTCATGGGTTTTACAATTCATCCTCACATCAACTGTCTATATCTGCAAAGTCTGTGGCCTATTTAAGATACCGGGGCAATGTTCACTCCATTTAGCCTCAGGCTGCTCTGCTGAAATAAAAAGAAACAAGCAAAAAAAAAAACCTACACAGTGGGAAAAAATGTCAAAAATCTAGTGGAAGCAGTGTTCAACACAGTCTAATGGAAAAAAAAAGAATCATCTAAAACTCCTCGGTGCCCCTTAGACTGTAAAGAAGTGAAGTGAAGAATGATGGTGTGCAGATGCTGAAAATGAAAAGAAAGAAGGTCTTGTCTTCTTGTGGGGATCCAGGGAGAGCAGCGAGCGAGGCTACATGGCAACTGTTGTCAGAATTAGGCAATCTGACTGTCCCCATTCCAAGCAGTACCCTACATATCTAAACACCGGCCTTTGCTGCTCCTTTTTGGTCGGCCAAAAAGAGGAAAGAGAAAACAAATCTGCACAGAAATATCTCGTGAGCTCATTCCTCAAAAGCATTAGACATGCTAGACAGGGCTCCTGAAGCTAGTAGCTACAGGAGGAGGGATTCGAGGCTGGAGAATTGGGAGAGGTGGGGGGGGGGGGCAGCTGTGGGCCACATGTTGTCATAAAAAGGCTGCAGGCAGAGTGGAGCTGCGACAGGAGACAATTAGGCTCATGAAAAATATATCATACTTAGCGAGGAGATCAGCGTGGCCGAGCAAAGCGGGAAGGAGGTGAGTAATTGGATTTGTTTTGAGAGTCGGACTCACCTTTTACCAGCAGTTCGGGCTCTTCCTCCATTACAATCTTATTCTTCTCAATGATCAGGCTCTTCATCTCATCAGAAGGCTGAGACACCGGGTGCCTGTGTGCAAGAGCAGAGAGAGAATGTGAATAACCCCGCTTCCCCCCTCAACTCCAGTCTTCCTCTGGATTCCCCCTTCCCCGCTGGATAGCTACTGTAATTGGCTCATAGAAACCCCGTTGGCTTTGACCCTCGTCACTATGCAACTCTTGGCCAACTACCACCCTCTCTTAAGCCGGGGGTCACTCGCGGGGGACTGGAAGAAGTTCCACAAATATCTGCCCTCCAGCGTTTGCCCACCTTCTCTCCCTAGCAGCACGCGGGCCCGCAAACACGCACGGACGCATGCCACGCCACTGTGGACAGCTCGTCTCTCTTTTATCACTCTGGCTGGCGAGCTGAGCAGGCGACTGAAAATAAACGTGACAGGCCGACGCCGGCCTGACTCCCGGCCAGCCGGCTCATGTCGGTCAGTGGAAGGCGGCGGGTTCAAGAGGTCAACGTCTTTGGATAGTTAAAACCATAAACATCAAAAACATCTGTAAATCTGCAGAAGTGCTGTTCTTTCTTTCCTTCTTTCTTTCCCTCTCTCTCTCGTTAATGTCCCGCCATCAACGCGCTATGTGGCTACTTCCAAATGCAGTGGCAACTGAGCATCTGGTCAAGTAATATGGAGGACCAATTAATACTTGCCATGGCAGGCCAAGGCCAGTTTCCAGTCTGATAGATTGTTTTAGCGGTTTTTATCCCTCCTCGTTTATTTGTGCAATTACTTGTATATTTTCTCTATTTCCTGGCTCTGAGTAGCATGTGAAGTACAAGTGACAAAAAAAAAAAACTCTCTCCTTCCTGTTCCTCCAGTCCTCCTGGGATCACTGCAGCAGGAACGAATCACGTCCCACCTCCCAGGGTTACTTATGCCTTCATCAGATGATTTATACACCTATTGATCCGACACTTCCAGGAGGTTCCCCCTCACGGAAGGCAGCGCTAATCGATAAGTCTCCATATAGCCTTATCTACTTTGACTCAGCTTACGTGACGGCGGAAACCATTTCCTTTCCTTCTGCGCACTCTAAAGCCGGTCTCTGAGGTTTTCTGGTTGACCCCGGGGACACAGCCTCTCAAACTGCGCCGTCTGCGTTTTCTGACGTTGACTTGCAGCCGCTGATCGTAACTAGCCGGCACTTCTAATTTAATCCTGTATTCAGACAGTGAAACTCTAGATGCTGGGCCACTTTTCGGTACGGGTGTATAAATTGGTCCGAAGAATCACCAGGATGCATGGGGCAGAGATATTCAGCAGTATGTCACTTTATACCGAGTCACGCTCTATAACTAAGCCTGCTTGCGGGGAACCTCTGCATGTGATGACCCTACCTAAATGCTTTAAAATAAACTCAGAAATATGAGGACATCACTTATTTTGGGTTGTTAATAACCCCCCCCCGCTACACATCAGAGCCACTCACTCAGACAGCAGCCTGACGGGCTGTAGGCTGAATGTATACATAGATCATATCAGCGTTGAAGATCATAGATTAATGTGTGCGACTGCTGCAATTTTTACACCCATGTTAGAGCAAAGCATCCTCCACTGGAGAGGAGTAACAATCAACAAATTTTCAATTCCTTGACGGACCACTGAAAGCTGATTACAAGAGTCTGCCCCATGTTAAAATTCTCAAGCAGAAATAAACATGTTTACAACCTGGTACAACAGTTTGGTCCCTCCAGCCATTTTTTCTCCCCATTAGGGGGCAGGGGGGTATCAAAACAAAACTTAGACTGGGTCGAAAGGCTGAGATCTTTTAAGGAATCAAGAAACCTGCATGCTGAGAAGTCAGACTCTTCTCCAAACTTCAGTGTTAAAATGTTTTTAAGTTACTGCATTTTGGGAGGGCCGGGATAAGTAGAGAAGGAAGAGCAGCCATAAGAAAATAAATACAGATTTAACTTTTGGAAACACAGAATGTTTGACCTTTAAACTAAACGTTTTTCTATTGGCTATTGCTATTGCCTTGACCAAGAAAATCACCAAAAGTAGTCCTGTTCAAACAGCAGTTGAAAAGACAAAATCGCATAATGTTGTATGAATGATAGGTTAGAATAAATTACAGAAGAAATGTAGACAAGTGAGCACTTGGACAGTCTGTTCTTTTTGGTTACTGAGCAAAAGTGTTTCATTGACATGATTAAAATGCTTTTTAAAGCAATTTGCGATGGTAAAAGTTAAAAAAACATAAAACAAGCAGGAAGCATTCTTCAATAAAATGATCACTTTGCACTATATGAGTCGAATTTTTAAGAGCAATCTGCGGTGAAACGAAATAAAAGAAGGCTGGAAAAAAAGAGGACATGTTTTACAGCTTTAGGCAAATGCTGGAGCATAATTGATGTGGTAGCTTTGGATCTACACAGCTGTCCAGCAGCCCCACAACCTCCAACAGCCCCCTGCAATACTACCACCCCCACATTCCCAGAAGCCTCAGCAGAGGCCGTGACGGTGGGGCCTTTAGTGGGCAACTTCCTGTGGAGTGCAGGAAACAATTTGATATGGGGATTAGACAGCCCGAAGAATAGAGTAAGTGCACATCCACAGAACCCCCCCCCCTTTTTCTCTCCCTCTCTCTCTCTCTTTCTCTCTCTAGCTAAACCTCCCCTCCAGGTATATATGCTCTTAGCAACAGAGGCATCATTTGATGTCACACTACACATCTGTTAAACTGGAAATGTGCTGAAAATTAGGACATTCCAACTTCAGACCAGCACATTATGTGGGTCTCTTTAAAAAATACAAATTAAACCAAAACAAGATAGTTCTTACACTGCAACAAGGGAAACAGAAATGTTGTTCGAGATCAGACAATATGCTGCCAGATGGTACATGAGGTATGAGGGAAAGATCATGGAGAAAAAAAAACAGAAAAAGAAACGGGAAAAAAAAGATTGGCAAGATATGCACGCAGCCACAGAGATCTTATCGTATGATCGATCTAAACACACAGAGCAGCATCCTGTCTCTCTGCTAATGTCCGCTGCACAGACATGGGAGGATGTATGGTGCACGCTGTTGGGCCACTGAGGCCCAGCAATGTAGTAGAATTCAGCTGACGGCCAGGGGAGCAGTTCAATAAACATTCAGCCATCCCTGTTAAACTCCATATCATTACATGCAGTTCATGACATCAAATAAAGCACTTAGTGTTATCAGCCTGAGCGTTCTCAGCTCTTTTTAGTTTTACAGACGTACGGTCACATCGACAAAAAAAAAGACTTAACTTTTTTTTTTTAATGGGGGAAAAACAGATTTTATGTATAAATAAATGGAGCATGTTCGGGGGTGGAAGAAGATGGACTGGAGCCGTAACCCTGCTGGTTTAGGATGCTGGCCTATGACGTGGTTAATGGAAAATATTCACGATAAACTAAACCAAAACTCACTAAGACATTTCCCATTAGAAAAGGGAAGAGCACATCTGTTGACACAAAGCTCCCGCAATGACTGACCAACAGCACCCCCCCCAAAAATGGAATCAAACTGAAATGACACTGAAAACTGAACTCTTAGTTAACTTTTCCAACCTATGTCCCGACTCAATAACTTGCAATGCATCACAACAGCCTTCAATATTCTAAAGTTATAATGCATTATTAATTTGTATGAAAGATTCCAGTGGAAGACGTCACGTTGTCAATTGGCTGGAAGGGATTTTTTGCAAACTGAATTTAGAAACAAAATTTGTATTCTTTCTTGAGTCCCTCTTGAGGGATTTACTGGATCAGAGACATTTTTCTGGAGCTCTTCACCAAAACTGACATACCAATCGTCACACCGAAAGTATCAATATTCATATTGCTATGTTTGTTTCACTCCGCGACCTGCTCTAAGCGTGAGAGTTACGGGAGGTTTCCGTGCGTTTACCATGATATTGACATTGAGTGAACAGCTTTATTTGCAGAAGTATGGATCGGCTTAAATCAACAGCATATGAGCCGTTCCTACATACTGCAAATAGGTCATGGCAGCTAATGAGCACATTTTTCACAGCGACAGTGACAGTGACACACTTAAATCATGTAGCGAGAGTGGCACGGCGGGTTGATGAGTTTGTGACCCTCAGCCTCAGTCTGGTGGTAGCTAGTGATGAGTAATTGATTTCAATCTGGGGTCTAATTACGATTTTGAGACACTAATTAAAGTTAGAAAAGTGGCGTCCTTGCTGTTGGGCCTCGGTGACCGCGGTGAAAACATGTCCCTGCATACAAAGCGGGTCTTGAAAACGACCCATGCAAAAGTATTCTAGGGTTATGCGTAATGTGTTGCACATAATGTATGTTGGCATCGTGGATTTTTCTGACTGGTGAACAGCTAAGACAGAAAAAAGGCACTGAATAGTATGATGTCCTGTCCAGGTCTCCTTAACGCTCATGAACTGCAACACGTTTATTTTTGGACTGATCCCAATTCATGAGATAAACCTCAATCAAATACAGTGGATGTATGCGTAGCATCAAATAATCAAAGAGTCTGTCAGCAGACATGGATCTCTCTCTCTTTTTCAGTCCCTATCTCCTCCCCCACGGTGCATGGGCTGGCTGAATGGGCCTCTGGCTGAAGCTGGGCTGGTGGGAAAATGGGAATGTGGTGATTAACATTGGGCCTATATGACCTCCCAGCTAAAAATACACTGCTTAGTCAAGACCACTGCCAAGAAATTCTGGACTGGGCAGAGGGGAGAGGGGGGGGAGAAAAAAAAAGTCATGTTTTTAGACCAGAGGACGACGGGTATGTGAAAGGAAGTCTAAGTTTGTGACCGGCAAAGTGCGTGTTGTCGGCAGGAGATTTAATGATACCGGACAGCTGAGGTTTTAGATTCGATGAAATCATTTTCACTGTGAAACACTGAGAAAATGAAAAACCTGAAAACATAGTACACGTTTTATCCAGCAAACAATGCCAGTTTGGGATGAATGGTGGGGTTGAGAGAGTAGACACGCAGTTACCAGGGGCTTGGTCTTTAACTTCACGACAACAACCCCCCGCCTGTTTCATGAATACACGCCCTCTCACACGTCAAGACATACATTCTCTGACATGAGTCCTACCCACTGTTCTCTGTTAGTCATCATGGTGCAATAGTCCAACAAATGACAACATCTGCATTTTAATCTTTGATTCTTTGCTATCTTTGAGCAATGAGAAGGAGCTTGAGCGCGATGAAAGTCGAGTAAAGCAATTTTGCAACAGTTAAAGATGAGTCTGAGCACAGCAGGAGAGAGCGGGCAGGTTTCTGGTGCCTGAGCAACGTCACTCTGTCCGCCTGACTAAACCTGTCCGTCTCCTTCACGTTGTGTTTGAAGGCCTGTGACGGAAGAGGCTCAGAGGGAAAACCAAAAGCGTGTAGCGCTCTGCCACCTTAATGGCATTCAAACCCAGGGGAAAACAAAAAGAAAAATCACTAATCACAAGCCTACTTACAGATTAGTGTTTACATTTCTGATGTTAAAACACAACAGCACTATATTGGAATATTGATTTGTAGTGCTTAATGACTGCGTAGCTACATAGGCTTAGAGTTAAATTATTAATCAACATGTCTATTGTCAGATTTTTTTTAAATGAAGGCACTTTCAGGACTTGCTCTTCTCTTTTTGTTTAATTTTTAATCAATGTGCTTTAGAGGGTCACTAAAGGGTCAATATCTGTCACAGCCTGTGACAGATATTCTTCCCTTTTTGCTTTTAACATGAAGCCTCTTCAGCAAAAGATACAAAGAAAGCATCTGATGGCAGTTCAGTCCAATAACTGTTAACTGACTATGTATCTGCATACAAGCTGGCGTATATCTGTGGCCACGACTCCGCTCTGACACAGGAAGATCCACATCGCTGCAAAACCACATAAAGACATGACTAATTGTCTGAGTATTGCCTTGATGGCCTTACTTCCTTAACTCAAATAAATCCCCTCGGTTCATCACTAACAACAGTGGATCATTTTCCGCGGTATAGATTAAGGCCACCCCCTGAAGAGCTCCTTTCAGCAGTTCAGTGAAAGTTCCCGGTAAGCCAGACACGCTTTGCCTGTTACGCGAGACTTCGACGAAAAACAGTTTGCTGCATAGCTGGGTGCCGGCGTTTCAGGGCCTCGCTCGTCATATTTCCAGCACAAGAGAGCTTCTGGGTGTGCCCCAGCGTTGGCCAGGTAATGACCAAGCGCCGCGCTCTCTAATCTCTGCACTCTGCGTGATGATTAAAGCCGGGCTCTTAACACACTCCCTTCAAAAGTTGCAGTTAATTATGCCATGTCGCCCAAGGCCACTGCCACTGTTCTGTAGAAAACGACACACGCACAAAAAACAGCACATCTGAGCCACACCTTCCTCTGATAGTGCTATTGATGTAGGGCTGAGTCACGCCGGCCGGTCTTAACCTCTTCCCTTCCCTTTTCTTCCCCTCGAGGCCTCCGGAGACGAGGCGTCCCGTGCGACTGCAGCTGAAACCCTCCTCCTCGGCTCACCTTCCCACTTCCCGTGGCAGCTCTATTCTTGTCGAGAGCTGTTGAAGGCCCCGGTCTATTCATTTGCGGTGAGCGATGGTCCGACAAGTCTCGCTTTGTGACTCACTGCCTGTGAGTCGGCAGATGTACGGGAGCGATTGCGGATGAGGGAACGGTGGTGGGGGAACGGGGGGGCGATAAGGGCACGATGCCAGAGATTGAACGGAGCAGAGCCCGGCTACATCACTGTCTGAGATCACAGCTATGCACCAATAGCCTGGATCGTGGCCTCCGTGAATCACTCATTTTCGCTGTCACCAGCAATTACTTTTCAATGACTTGACCATCGGAATTGTGCTATCTGGGAAACTCATACCGAATTCCTCCGACCAACAACTTGGGAGAAAAGCTTTTGTACCCTCAAATACTCTATTGATGTGGAAGTTGTACAAAATGATGAGGCACGACAGTGCTGGTTAAGCACGGCTTTTGTTGCAACAACTGAGATTATCTCTGAAGTTAAAAAGGGAAGAGAGTAGCGCATAAAAGCTAAACGAGCGTGAAGTGCTGCAGCTAAAGAGAAAAATCAAGCACTGACAGATATGACTGCCTGGAAATAAATGCAGAAATCCCCAGCACTCAGAGGAAGTATTCCAGTTAAATAGGGAACTATAACTTCCTTAAAAAAAAAATTGGAGGAAATTGCTTTTTCTTTCCTTACCGATTTGTTCCATTTGCTGTACAAGTAGGCTGAGAAACGATCACCTCGGCCGCGCTCTGCAAACAAAAGAAAGAGAAAAAGGGTAAATAGATGATAGCACAACACAAACAGTAGTCTGTCCTCAGAACTATCCGCAGGTTGAAGTGATCCCTCAATGGTTTGCCTTCAGTTGCCACGTTATGGCAGAGCATGCAGTTGTTCCTGGCAGGCTCAGCACATAGTTGCTCTGTTCCTGTAATGCTTGGCTTTCACATGCAAAGGGTAAGCCGGTGGAGAGAAATATGGCATGCAGGACAGGCTAATTTAGTGGAAGAGCTCGAAACAGAGGGAGCTTTCACGTTACAGTCTCATGCACCCCAAACTTCACACCTCCGAAATGTTTTAAGTCGGATTGGTCATTTTTTGAAGGTTAACCTCAAAAGAATATCAGCCTGTGGGCAGAGAGGATGAAAGCGACCGTTCCTGTTATGACTTCAATCTCAAAAGTTGGAGCAGAAATGCTGCAAATATGACAGGGAGGCATCACTAAATGAGGCTGTTTACACCCAGCGTTGCATTTAATACAACCGTTTGTCTATTGATGAGGATTAAGTGATGGCCACTCCGTTCTCAATCAATACCACATATTAGCAAACAGTTATTCAGGACAAATCGAGGGAAATTAGACTTGAGTGGACTCCGAAGTTAGTGCCACTACAGACTAAGTGAGGGTGACACCGGCAGACATTCAAAATCAAATTTTACAGGCTGAACAATGAGCTTTTTCATTCCACGGCTTAGTAGTAGATAGAAGAGGACGTTTCCTTTCACACAGCTCTGGCCCTAGATTCCTACCCCAGCTTCGGAAAACCCCAGCAGACATCAGAGCTTGCCTGTGCGCAGTTTGGACCGATTCCCTGGTGTGCAGAGCGGGACTCTGTGTCCCCGTGGCCCGGGGTGCTGCCTCTGTCAACCACAGCCTGGAGGCAGCTCCTGTGGCTTCCCCCGGCTCAACTTGGCCCACCTGAAACACTATCCAGGTCAGCTCTGGGCCCCCTCGCAGTTCACACACCACACTTTACTACTGGGCAAACTATCCCTAAGTATAGCCTTTGCCCCCGCAAAAGCAGTCTACAGCTTCTTTTTTAGAAATGTCAAAATTAAAAAAAAAAAACAAAGAAACAAAACAAACATTAACTGCAGATTTATAGGACTTTGTTTCAAAATTATGAAGCAGATGGACTCCCAAGGATATTAGGTAATGATTATGGTATGGATAATGAAATTTCATTAATGTTTAACTCAGAGGAAGTACTGTAAATGCCAAACCAGGGGGGCGGGGGCACGAATAACTGAAGTTTCCTTAAGTGACTTATGAGTGGAGGACAGTATGTGTGGTACTCCTGCTGCAACAGGCAAGCCGTGTATCATATTCATATTCTGAACTGATGAGATGATCAATAAACTAACGAGGCAGGTAGATCATTTTCAGATATTTTAAATAATTTTCCAGGAAACGTGACACAATGTACAGAAAAGCAGCCCTCTTCTGCAGTTAATGGGCTGTGGGATGAGGAATGAGGATAGCGTGCGATGCGGAGCCTTGGCAAAAGATTTCCCTTTGGACGGGCAGGGGATGAATCACTCCAGACTACAGCAGAGCACGGAGGGAAAAAGGGAAAGATGCCGTGATGCGTTCGTTCCGAGGCCGGCTTCCGCTCTCGCTTTCCCCAATCTCCTCTCCTCTCTCTCCCCTCAGCTCTCCTGGGAGTCTGAGTAACCGGGGGAGGAAATGCTTGGGCTCAGCTAGTGTCGGCCTGAAGACCAGATGTGTGGCCTAGAGGTGGTGAGGCAGAGACGCAACGGAAACCAAATCTAAACCAGCGTACCGTGACACCAGCGGAGGCAGAGGGCAGCAGTGACGGTTAACGAGAGGGCCTGTTCCAGGCCTTTTCCAGGGCTGTTCCAGGCCTGTTCCAGGCCACAGGACGCGCTCCTCCAGCTGCCAGGGTCCACACGCACCGCGGTGGAGCTTTACTGGTAAATGCGACTTAGCATTTAACATAAAACGTAACGCGTAAAAGTTGAAAAAGAAAACACGGAAAGAAGCGCGAGTGACGGATGTCCTGTCCTAAAAATCAGTGCCAAGCTGTCCCAACACTGGAGGCATTCAGCTCGGCGCGACTGTTTGGGCAGCTGCTGAAGAGCAGCCTCTTTGAATAAGGACTGTAAACACGAAGGGGAAAAGATTCTGACATGGTCTTGTGCTCCTCAGGGCCGGAGCTACACGAGCGTCAGCGCTGACTCATAGTCCCGACCAAAGTAATGAGAGCCCGGGCGAAGGTTAGCGCGTCGCCTATGGCATGGGTGCCGTGGATGCCGCACATCATGAAATCCTCTGGCACCACGCTGGAAAACAAAGCAGCTTGTGGTGATTTTGGATGTCTTAAGACGGGAGACTCCACCAGTTGTGGGTCAGTGTGGTCACCCCTGGAGAGACGCCTACTAAATGGAGTATGTCAGTGTTATAAAGTGAAAAAGAAACACATCCATACACAAAGCGAGGGGGGGCTGAAATGCTAAACTTTGAATAAACAATGAAACTTAGTCCCATGGGGCTTTCCCTGGAAATCGTTGTGGCCATCTTTAACCCTACATCCAATGCTCTCTGTTGACACAATGACAAGCCAAATTAGATCTGGCTATTCTGAGAATAGGCGCTCTGCAGAGTGCTATGATTTATGGTGACTTAGATCTAATCAGGGAATTACGCTGGCTCGGAGGCTTCAAGCCATGTCCCCTTATTTATTTATCTTTATTCATTCATTATGTTGATTTCAGGCAAGGCATCAACTATTAACACCAATTCGCGATGTCCCGCATAAACCAGCGACGCGGCGCAAGAGGAAACAGGATTTCCTCAAGAAGGCCAATTGATTCTGAGCATTAAGGAATCAATAATCAATAGCTCCATTACATATGGGTGCATTCATCATAAGGAAATGAGCCCTGCTGAGCAAAAAGATTGGCTTACTTCCTTTGATTACTTGACAAAACACCTTCAATTTACCATGGTCAATAAAACAGTCCTTTCCATTAAGAACTTACCCGATAAGCCACATGAAAGACGACAGGGACATTTATCATACAGATTAATAGATGCAGACTAATACTTTATGACTCAAGATAAGTCCATTTATATTCATGAACATTTCCAGGCCTATATCAATAAAGGGAAGGGCCTAAACAGCGGGTTGACTCTCAGGAAGGGCAGAGACAAAGAGTATGCTGCCATACCCAAGAATCCAAAAGGTGCAGAGTTGTTCTTAGTTTGAGCACAATTTGGAGTTGAGTCAGTCTGTGAAATTTTAACTGAAAGCTGAAATGAGTCGGGAATGTATTGGTATCATATGAACAGAATTCATGGCTGAAAATATCAGATTTTCCAATAAATCCGCATCTCATCAAACACGGTTTAATGGCATTTCATGCAAGTAGCATTCCAGTTTAGACTCATTCTGAAGTTTTTCTGTGATTTTTAAGCATTCAAATTGTAGGGTAAAGCAACAGAGCACGGTGTCAAATCAGAGAACAAATGATGCAAAGTAATAACAGGCAACTTGACGTGGGTTGTTATTCTTACAGTATTTTGTCAGACCAGACTCTTTCAACTGCTTCTCTGACAGCACTCTGCTCAGTGGACCCAAAATCCAGTCACTGAAAGCTGCTGACTTACAAAACTGAACACCATAAGACTTTTTCATGAGTTCAATAACACAGATTTTACCTATTCCAAATACTATTCTGTCACATCTGCTCACATAAACAAAGATGTCAATAATGAATCTACTGTTTTAGGATTGAAGTTGGCTACATTGTATAAATAACACAATATATGTATTCTTTATATTAATTAAGAGTTACTATTCTTCTTGTTGTTCATGAAAATCATTTTCAATTCAATGAACATTAAGCTAAAGACACTATGAGATCTTTGTTTTAATGTCCTCCGAACTGTCCAGAAAATACACAGGGAAAAGAGCTCCCTATATACGGCCTTTCAATTGGGACATGTTCCAATGACTATTGATTGCAGATATGGAGCATAGTTAGGCTCCTCTTACCACCGATGGCCAGCCAGATGGCACACTGGGCTAGTTTGGGTGTGCTAAAAAACCGACATCTCCCCAAGCGCTATGAAACAGATGTTGCTCTTATCTGTAGGTTGTTGGTTGCTGCTAAACTTCTGTTGAGCCAAAAACTGTAAACTGATCCGTTCCCAACGTTCCCATGCAAATCTCTGTACCGTTGTACTGGATGGCTGCAAACAAACACTGGGCCAATCGGCAGAAAAGCAGGATATGCACGTTGCTATTGCTCTCATTTGCAAAGCCTCAACCCAGCAGGGGGAAAAAAAGAAGCCAAATCATACACAGTGCTGGTTCAGCTCAATAAACAGCAAAAGGTTTGCATTAAAAGAAAGATCTATGCAGTAGCACAAAGGCCTGATCCATATTTAAGGGTGACTTGTTCCAAGACACTGTACATAAACAGATACATGCTGGCTTTTACAGAAAAAGCCTACCTCATTTCAAGGCAACAATGCCCCCTCACAAGTGGGTGGACAATGCTGAACTCTCTCTGCCTGATCAGATGACTAACATTACAGAGGAGACAAGGCCACAGTCTTATTTGCAATTGAGTGGATGTAAGCCAAATACACAAGACCCGCTCAAACTCACTGAGTTTGAGTTTTACAGTTTGCATCAGAGCATGTGTGCCTCCAAAGCCATGCAAACCTGATGTGAACTGTTTTGAAAGACTTTCACTTCCCAGTGCCCCAGTTAGCAGATAATTAGTGCATGCACATGTGAGAATATACAGTTTTTCATTTCAGAGGTGCAATCTTAAGAGCAAAGGCTGCATTTCTTATCACACCTTCTAGTTCCAATATTTACTTTTCAAAAGGTAATCATTTTCAAATCAAGGTCTGTAAGTATAACTGTCTAAACAGCCTCAAATTTCAAGTGTAATGTGCAAAACAAAAGGCAAGCAGCTGTATTCTTGTCAATAGAGAGATTTAGTGTAACGGGGGCATGTTTGTTAAGGGCATTGGAGCTCAGCAAGTATTAAATAGTGCAGGTGGAGAATTTTTACCCGTCCATTGGGAGTCAAGTCCTCCTTGTTGCGCAACTCAAAAGACTCTTCCTCCTCTTTCTCCCCATAGTCCCGTCCCAGCAAACTGAAGCCCTGCCTGCAGCACAGAAACCAGCAAACTCCTTGCAAAGGCATTCAAATTAGGTTTAAGTGAGTCGTTTAGGGCTATCCAGGACAGTGGATTCAACGATCACGCCGCAAGTGAGTCCAGGAGCTGAGTGAGAGGATCCAGTGTACCTCTCCATAGATGTCCAACGAGGAGGAGGAAGGAAAACATAAGCTTACTCTCCCCTCTCTGGTCATGAAAACATAGAATGTCTAACTAACTGTACATGACAGCAGTCGTTCTCAAACACAGTCCAATTATTCAAGGGGAAGAAAAAAAAATCTCTTCCTCCAGGTGTCCTCCAGCTGCTTGTCCAATTTGACTTCGAGCGGAAAATAAAAGAAATAAAAAGTGTCTCAGTACTCCCAGCCAGCAGTTCGGGCTCACACTGAAAAACGAGTCGAATTTGACAAGAGTTGTCTCCTCAAACGTCTTGTGCGAGCAACTGTTAGGCAACGTAAAGGCGAAGCGGATCACGCCAGACTGACTTCAGAATTTGAACAAAAGCGTGCAGCAGCTGGGTCGGTCTAAGCCACGCCCACTGACCTCAGGTCTGCCGCGCGATTGGCTCGTCTCAGACACTCCCCAGCGGGACACGCCCACAAACCCGCCCCTCTGGTTCACGGAGCGTCACACGTCTCCCGGTAGAAGCACATTAGGAGTATTTCTTTACTGGCGCTGTAAAATCCTCCTCTCTCTAGCAGTGTTCGTGCATTTTCTTGTATCTTTCTTGTTATAGCCTTTTAGATCTCCCTGTCATGTCCTAATTTGTTATGATATCAAAATGGACATTAAGTAACCAGTCTTAAAATCATTTGAAACGAGGCTTAGAGCTAAAAAGAAAAAGGAAAAGAAAAAGAAAAAAAAATCTATTGTATAAGCTATAGAAACTTTTATGTGCCCTTTTGAGGAATCAGTTTCCTCCTGGATATTTACATCCATTTGTACAGCTTCTGTTGGAGTGTGCACAGATTCCTTTAGCTTGCCTTATTGGTGATGTTTTGAAAAGATATGATACATTATGCTATTTTTTCTGATCAAAATGGGGAAAAAACCCTCATCAGCAGCAACTGGTAAGCTCTGTTACTTGTAGCTGTCACTCTAATTAATTTCTGTCCGTCATATTCTTCTAATATCACATTTACTCACACACATACACATTCCTCTCCCACTCATTCTTCTTTTTTTGCTTTGCAGTCTACAAAGATGCAGCAGAGGGAGATATGTGAACTGGCCCTAAATTCAGGCACGTGACTTCTCCAGCCCTACCAGCACTGGTGCTTATTACTCCCATAATATCCTTTCATTTCCCCTCTCTGCTCTGTGCAGACTCCCCCCACACATCTTAGTCAGCTGATTTTAACTCATTCCTCACCAAGACCATCTTTTATCCACAGTTCCCTCCTGTGCTGCTGATGGGTAGTCCTCTATTATTCATTTTCATATTGATAACCAATAAGACTTACAAATGCACTTTTTTAGCCAGGCTGTACTTAAAATGATGGACTGTAAGGCCGAACTCCCCTTGCCCCATTTTAGAGAGGCAAGTCAAACACAAATTAGCACACTGCCCCACTTTTCACCCACAGAGAAGAAAATTAGAAAGTGTGTGAACTGACTTTTAGAAATGTTCCCTAAGCAAGCGCTGTTTACTATAAAAAGGCTTGACCGAATCAAACTGGAGCTTTCAGAGCTCTCTCGTTAAGCTACACCAGCCGCTTTCCGTCTCTGTATCTCTCTCCAGGCCAGATCTTCCTTGTCCTCCCCCATATCCCAAAACAATACGCTTGGGGCCCCTGCTCGCACAGACCTGGAGGAACATATGTTTTATTTTTAGAGCTCACTCACTCAGCCCACACCAGTAAAGTTAAAAAAAAGAACAGTCCTTCCTCCATTTATGGTTTAGAAGAGACTCCGAAGTCGGTGCAGAGGGCATGAGTGTATCAATCTAATCTTCAAATATAAGTAAAGGACATGATTCTTTGGATGCTTTGTGTGTCTCTAAATTGATGATTCTTTAAGGGTTTGTTTGACATCTTTCTTTCTTTCTTTCTTTCTTTCTTTCTTTCTTTCTTTCTTTCTTTCTTTCTTTCTTTCTTTCTTT